GATTCTGGGCCCTTGCAGGTTATTTATAACATAAACGTAAGATTCTACGATGAGAGACACTATATTATACTAGACCCAGTAATGTCTGCAAGCGGATGTTTGCATGCACTCCAAATATACCACTATCTAAAAGAGAACATTAAAAGCATAGTTTAGCCAGAAGGGAGAAGATGTGGTTAGGGTACAGAATAGCACTTCCCTCTATACTGTGAGAACTGCTCTTCACCAAGAGGACTGTCTTATTTAAAAATAAATGGCGCAACATTAATTTCTCATATGACTTATGACTCATTTATTTTGAATAGAAAATAAAATTAGTACATCTCTAAGACACAAAACTAGGACATGATTTCAAGTTTAAATAATAGAATTTAAAAGCAGGCAGCCGATATTATAATTGCAAAAGCAGAGAAAAGACACTTTTAGGAATTGCAATTACAGTTTTTAAAAAGTGAACATTAATCCTAAATCTGAGACATGACGTGACTCCAGATATCTACATGAGAGTCCAACCCCTCGCCCACCTGGAACTCCACATTTGAATTTAGGCTGAAAATGAGAAATGCAAGTTGTTCCTGTTTTTTTCATCATCGTTTTGTGGGACTAGATGTGGAGTTATGCCAATCTCTTCTCACATATCCATCGATTTGTATCACTGCAATAACTATCTATCCAGCTGTTTCTTACATCTTCGTGAATTATTTCTGCGCAGTCTTCGTCCATCTTCCAATGTCCATTTGGCTCACCGGTGTACCAGTAGCTGAAACCCCCAAAGACAACATAATAATACATTTTAACCTGACATCAACTCAAAATGCTTTTTTGAGATTGATAGAGATAGAAAAATAAATGTCTATCCTATGTTTGGTTTGTTATCTGACATGAAATAAGCTTTTAAAGGACAAAATGTATGACATAAAGCTGCAGAGCGAGTGTCTGTCACAGCTCACCTTGACAATAGAAAAGTGAAATAATGAGTGAACCTTGTGGTCAGCGGGGTCCCATCGACCCACTTCCATCTGCCCTCTGTCTCTCGATCAGTGAGTCCAATCCACACCTTCTTACGAAAACTTGCTATGTATTCCTTGTCGTGGGGAGAAAAACGCACAATCACAACCACAACCACAATAGCCGCGTTCACATCGGAGTACTTTTCCCTGTACTTTTCGCGTTTAGTTCCGTTAGTACCCCTTATGTCGCTTTCACACCAAAAAGAGTACTGAGTGCCGGGAACTTTTACCCCCATTTTTAGTGCCTGCTGAGAGATGGTACTTTCCTGGGGGAAAAAAGTGCCCCAGTTCTGATTGGCTGGGCGAATTACAAACCACGCTCCGTAAAACTCTGAAATGTTTTGTAGAGCCGCCATTTTATTATCCTCGACATTAGCATTATTAGCATTAGTATTCGCCCAGCGCACAAACGCAGAGAGACTACAGTAACTTATGGCAACACAAAATAAAACATTGGAGCGGTGGAGATGAGGAGGTATCGGCGTTCTAGCGATTTACTCGGAAGGCTTCAGTAGAAGCTGCTGGGAGTCCCAGTCTCTCTATATGGCGCTGGCCAGCATGTGTAGTTCTGGGGGGGCGTTCGTTCCATTTCAAAGAGCTGTTTGGCGCTCGGCGTAACCTTGGCGCACTGCCACTCCAACATCCAATCCCAGAGTTTGAAGATTAATCACGGGGTTTGTCAACGGGACTGTAGTCCCAAACGATAGCTGGGGATTATGGGTAGTGTAGTGTCTTCGGCCATCCTAAACTCTGATTTTTTTTTCGGATTTCATATCGCATTAACACCATATCCCGACGTGCATTGCGGCTAAAACATCCAATCAGCGAGCTGAGGATCTTTCCTACGTCACTTTACAGCCCCGCCCACTTTTGGGGAAACCAGCTGTCATTTGAACGGCGATCAAGCCTGAAGCCACAGAGCTCTTCTGTTGTATACTGTCCTTTCTTCGTAGAGGAAGTACAGAAACACGTAACTCTGGATTTGTTTTAATGTTTGAGGTGCAATAAACGACACAGCAGCTTTTTGGCATGTTAAAACTATTATTTTCTGCCTCGCAGCTGGCGAAATTACAGCCTCGCCTACTGATTTTAATGTAACCATAGGATATCGAGCCCGATCGTCGATTTCAAATGTGTGCTCTAAAATGATATTTATAAATGACTATTATCATTATTATAAGCAAGACAATAAATGGCAAAGATATGTAGAAAATAAACGTATTTGAGATAAGTTCATAACAAACGTAATGTGGGAGAAAATATGTTTCTAGAAGATATGTAGAAAATAAACGTATTTGAGATAAGTTCATAACAAACGTAACGTGGGAGAAAATATGTTTCTAGAAGATATGTAGAAAATAAACGTATTAGAGATAAGTTCATAACAAACGTAATGTGGGAGAAAATATGTTTCTAGAAGATATGTAGAAAATAAACGTATTTGAGATACGTTCATAACAAACGTAACGTGGGAAAACATATGTTTCTAGAAGATATGTAGAAAATAAACGTATTTGAGATACGTTCATAACCAACGTAACGTGGGAGAAAATACGTTTCTAGCTAAACGTAATTGAGAATGCAGTTTAGTTCTGTGGGAACGTAATTTTTAGGAGACAGGGTTGCAGGAGGAGAAGAGGTGCAAAATTCCGGCGGAATAATAATAATTTTGTCCATAGAATAACATATAGTTGGAATGCTGTATCAGCATTCCCACTAAATAACCATCAACATCAACCACCTCCACCCGTCCCTCAACCCTAAGACCACCGTCATTTTTGTTCACACCCTGGTCACTTCCCGCATTGACTACTGCAACTCCCTTCTCTTTGGTCTCCCTCTCAAATCCATCCACAGACTTCAAATGGTTCAGAACTCTGCCGCCCGCATCATCACCAGAACCCCCTCCATTAACCACATCACTCCTGTTCTTCAGCAACTTCACTGGCTCCCCGTCAAATCCTGTATCGTTTTTTAAGATTCTGCTCCTCGCCTTCAAGGCCATCCATAACCTCACTCCTCTGTACCTCTCCAACCTCCTGCACATTAACACACCCATCCGCACACTCAGGTCTTCTGCTTCCCTCAACCTCCCACCACCTCACTGCACCCCCCTTCCGTTTAACCACCATGGGGTCTAGAGCCTTCAGCCACTCTGCACCCTGCCTCTGGAACTCCCTCCCATCTGACATCCGCAATACTGACTCTCTCCCCATTTTCAAATCACACCTCAAAACATATCTCTTCACACTCGCATATCCACCCTGATCATTATCCATCACACATCCTCTGTTTTTATTTATTTGGTTATTTGATTGATTTATATACTGCATTGTCTTGTTTATGTTTCTTATGCTGGTGTTCTCTATTGTGTATCTTGTTTTTTGTGTGTTTGTACGGTGACCTTGAGAGCCTTGAAAGACGCCTATATAAAATAAATGAATTATTATTATTATTATTATAAACCATAAAGAGACAAACTCAGAACATCAATAAACATGCATGCTGACCGACGGGCAGCGGCTAGTCAGTTAGCATGCTTATCTCTGCAGAACAACATATAGATGTTTTTAAAGTTACGTCAACATCCTAAGCTCTTCACATTCTGTTGATAATGATAGTTCATTTTTTTTACGTTTTAAATTTAAATTACTTATCTTACACATTTAAACAGAGGATATGATACAGCTGTTGTTGATAACGGTGATCACAATATTTATTTTCTTCACAAATATACGTAACTGAACCTAACATATCCTGTATAACTGATATGGTTCTGTTGAAAATAATGACAGCCTCTCCATTCAACAGGACAGTTTAGCAGAATGAATTTCCTAAAAACATGATATGGTGTTGGAATAAGAAAAGGAAACATGGATCCATACATTATCATTGATAGATTAACATAATATACAATGGGAATTCAATTCTATTTTAGATCTGGAGGCAAAATTGAAAATGACAGTTTCACAGCAAAACTCCCTGACTGAGGAGAGAGACAAGTTGAAGAGAATCAACCTCGGTAAGTATTAAGATGAAACTACTGCAATAATCAGGTTTTTGATCGGAAGGGGTATAAGGTATACTACATTGGTGGTGTATATGAAAGAAATAAAGGTGTATTTTCTCAGGCAGAACACGGAAGTGACACAAAGAAAACACGATTTGAACAACAGCCACAAAACAAAGAGCCAAGGCGTTTTCAACAACATCTGTTTCATTTCCTCTTCTTAAATGTGTAAGATAAGCCATCATTTATCATTAAAACGTAAAAAAAGAGAACTAACATTATCAGCAGAATGTGAATAGTATTGACGTGTCTTCAAAGACGTCTATGTGTTGTGTTGCAGAGATATCTACGGAAATTAGAATGCTAACTGACTAGCACCGCTGTTTCTTGATGTTCTGAGTTTGTATCTTTATGGTTTATTGCACCTACAATATTGTATGTTGCTTGGGATAAAAGCCTCAGATAACTAAAAAATAATATATTGTTACCTTATGTGATATTTAGAAGTGAATAAGTATTATTTACCCCTTCAGATCAAACCCCTGATTATTGCAGAAGTCTCATCTCAATACTTACCAAGGTTGATTCTCTTCAACTGGTCTCGTTCTTCAGTCAGGGAGTTTTGCTCTGAAACTTCAATTTTAGTGAAGAGGTTACCAACAAAATGTGATTATGTGCCCTAATAAACATATGATTCAGTTTAAAAACTAAATGTCTGAGCTGGCTTTGTTGAAAATAAAGCACACATTATTGTTCAGTAAAAGAAAATGTCTACAGGGATACATTTCTGGAAAGCTATCAAGGTAACTAGAGTTTCATACTCAAACAAGTTGTTTACCATTTGCACTTAAAGTAAGAGACACAAATTACGAAGACTTAAAAATAACAAAACGCAGGGAAATATTGAGAGCAGCTTGTAGAAAATACAGGAGCTCAATGATTCATTATAGTTGAATAGTTGACTTTATCATTGTACATACCATCCTTCACAGTTCTCTTCAGCTCATCTCTCTCCTCAGTCAGGTTTTTGCTACTGGCCTCCAGATCTAAAACAGAATTCCCATTGTATATATTATTTATGTTAATCTATCAATGATAATGTATGGGTCTATGTTTCCTTTGCTTAATCTAACACCATATGATGTGTTTTCAAGGAATTCTTTCAATTAAACGGTCACGTCGAATGGAGAAGTTGTCATTATTTCCAACAGGACCAGATGAGTTACACAGTATGTTAGTTCAGTTAGTGATTTGTGAAGAATTTGTGTTCCCTCTTACAGCCTTAACACAAAGAGCTGAGGCGTTATCTACATCAGATGTATCATTTCCTCTTCTTAAATGTTTAAAATAAGCCAAAATTAAAATATAAAACATAAAAAAATGAACTATCATCAACAGAATGTGAAGAGCCAACAGTGTTGACATTACTTCAAAGACGGCGATGTTTTGTGTTTCAGAGATATCTACGGAGATTAGCATGCTAACTGACAGGCAGCGGCTAGTACGTTAGCATGCTCACTGATCTGCATGTTTCTTGATGTTCTGAGTTTGTATCTTTATGGTTTATTGCACTTAATGTAAGTTACTTTGGATAAAAGCCTCAGATAAATTAAATGTAATCAATTGTAATATAAGGTGATATTTAGTACTGTACAGTATACCCCTTCAGAACAGTTTCATCTTAATACTTACCAAAGATGATTCTCTTCAACTCGTCTCTCTCTTTAGTCAGGGAGGTTTGCTCTGAAACTGTCATTTTCAGTTGAGAGGTTACCAACAAAAATGTATTATTTCCAAGCTGATTTTCTTTAAAATCATCCCAGCATTAAAATTATTGAGTACAAAGAATTGAATGGACATTTTCTCTGATTAAACGTGTTGAACGGGATATTGATTGAGTCAAATGTGCAAATTAAGTTTTATATACATTTAAGGGTCATATTGTTCACCCTAATGAACAGTGATATGTTTCTCGAAATAATTGAGGGCTAGTGATCCTCATATCTTGTAAGATAATCATCTAAACAAGGTCGTTAACCACTTGCACTATCTGGCTACAGAAGTGAGAGTCACAAATTAAGAAGACTTACAGAGAGTGAGACGCAGGGAAATGTTGAGAGCAGCTTGTAGGATACACAGGAGTCCCAAACTCACAACAAGCAGTCTGTTCATTTTCATTCCTGTGTGTAAAACACCAGATTAAACTTTTCACTTAATTACATTAAAGTACATTCTGTGAGGTATATAAAAAGTCTAACCCTGTCCAGGCTATTTCGGTAGTAATGTTGGGCATTTAAACATGGGATTAATGGAGAATGACTCACTTTTGGAGCCAGCCTCAAGTGGCTGTTTAAATAACTTCATACTAAGAATGACATTAGTCAACATTTCATTTATATACCATCTATTAATGTGTGAAATTCTGAAGAAATGTATAAAGTATAACGATGAAAAGGGAGCATACTGTACTTTGTTGACGTTAACATTGAATGTAAAGCAAACATCACATTATAAACACACACAGCTAAGATGAAGTTCACAAAAATAAAACAATAGCAAAGCAAAATGTAAAAAAATGCAAAAGTGGTTTACACACATTTTTAGATAAAAGTGACATTTTATATTTATATAGATAATATTATAAATGTACTTGTCACTGAGATTGAGCAGATTTTGTCTTCTAAAAATCTATATACTTTGTATGAACTTAAAGGTGGGGTAGGTAAGTTCGAGAAACCGACTCGAGATCGCTAAAATTTGAAAATACACAGCCGGAAAAAATCTGCCACTTCCTTACAGAGCCCCTCCTCCAACACACACGAACGCGCACATGACCAATGAGGGCACGAGATAAGCTTGTGCACAGATGGAAGGCTGACAGGCAGGTAGGCCATCCAGTTATTTTAGCCGGGCCGGCTAAAATGATTGGTCGTGCTTTTTACAGTACTACGGCTTCCACAGATTAATTTTTGTATGGATTTTTTGTCAAAGCACTTAAGATATTCATTGCTATCGGGATGTTAAGAGCATTCCATGGAATATAACAAAAAGTGTATCTCGAGCCGGTTTCTCAAACTTACCTACCCCACCTTTAAAGTGGACCTATCATGCTATATTATAATAATATAGTGTAGGACCATACCTATATAAGGGATATTTATACTTTTTTTTTTTCAAAATACCAAACAGATCATGCATTTTAGCCATGCCTCATTTCGCTCAATTTGAAAAAGATTTGCTCTGTTTTTGCAAGGGCTGATTCTGTGAGAACAGCACCACCTACAGGCCTGGCATATGTACTACAGCGTCTCCAGCGCTTTCGAACTCAATGGCCGTGGCTGTCTCCTCCTGATTGGTGGAGTTGGCCCAATAGCCGTAGCGCCACTTTCCTGACGTCAGGACAGTGTTCAAATCTGGATCAGTTTTTATCAGATCCGTTGCAGCCCCTGTTTTAGAGATTTGGGTATGGAGGAAAATAGAGAGGGTTGTGTTTTCTGACACTTGGTGAGTTCCCTGGAACACCGGGGAGACATATTCATGTATAAAAGACGAACAAAAGTGCATTTTGCATGATAGGTCCCCTTTAAGGTTTGAAATTGAATATAAAAGACAAGCTGTGCTTTACACATTGTTGTTAATGTTTTTTTTTTTGACTATGATTTCTGTCTTATCAGAGTGTCTTCTTAAATGGCACTTATTTCTAAACATATTCTTGTATTTAATGATTCTCTCAACTTCATCTCTCTCTTTCACACTCTCTTCTTCCTCATTTTTGAGTAATTTGCCTTTGTTCCTGAACTCATAACTTTCTGCTTTGCTGTAACTTTTGCAGATCCTTGGGTACCTTGGGTAACTGCAGCATCATATGAGTTTCTACTACTTGTAAAAAACTTTCCAAACAATGTAAACCATTTAAAAACCTACATTGACTTTAAACCCCCTTTAAAGTCAATGGAGGTTTATTCTGTACAGTTTTTAGGTGTTTAAGTGCTGCCTGAAAAGGTAGACTTTGGAACGCATTTAAACAAAGTCACAATTAGTAGTAACTAAGGAGTATTGGTGTAACATGTACGTATTTTTGCGGTATATGTATTATTTCATGTGTATTTTATTAGGGTTTTACTTTGAAAGCAATATATGTAAATACCAACTAGGGACATGGGTTGAATATTAGCAACAACTATAAACTCTCTGTTCATCACATCAGTTTCATGCTCATAATTGAAACTATGTTAAATTGCATGCCAGTAAGACAAGCTGAACATGTTTTTTTCAGAGCAGCCACAGTTAAGGTTTGTGAGATTCTCAGATGCTGTTAAATGTTTACACTTAATTGTGAAATATAAACTTCCTCTTCAAAATGAATGTGGCAGGAATGACATCCCTGAGGCCGTGGGCAAAATTCTCCTAATTACAGTTGTTTTCAATTGCTAAAACACATTTTTGACAACAGGGCTCATTTTCTCAAAACACTTAACACAATTCTAAAAACCACACACCCAAAGTGCAAAACACCTCGTTTTTCTTGCAAAATGAGGAACTGCACCCAAAACTACATCAACACTTCACCAAATGACACAAACTTCACTTATAGTACAAGACACTTTGTCCAACCAACTACACAAAGTAGTGATTTATCTAAAGCACACTCAAGTCTACACAAATATGTCCAGAGACAAAAATATACCGTTGTTATACTTTTATTTTCTCAGAAAAAAATTGGTGCAACCTTCATGCAGAACAAATAGTAACAGTTGTGCAAACAAAAATGATGCCTCAAACACAGTAAAATGTAAAGGAAAACTTTTAAACAAAAAAACAGAGGAGAGAAAAGTGCTTCGGGTGCATCTCGCCGCCTAGCTGGGTCTGGCCACAGCACCTCATCCACATCACAAGCAATATCTTCCCTGGCTAAACATCGAGAGAGGAAGCGTCTTGAGTGTTGTCCCTGGATAGCACTCACATCATTGTCATCACAAACATGTGCAGAAACACCAATATTCTGTTGAAACAAAACATTTGTATTTCTCTCCACAACAAAATGTATGCACAGCAAACACAGTTGCAGTTGTGTGAACCAAAAGTATGCTCTCTATCGGATACAGTAAATGGAAAAGACAGCTTTAACCGTTATGCTGCAAATAAAGTCTTCAACTGACTTCAGTTCATCCTCCCTCTCACTCTTATCTTCCCTCTACCTCTTCCTCTTGCTGCTATCCATATATCCATGTGTAAAAAGGTATTATGTGGAGCCTTGTTGCTTACATCCTGATTGATGAGTCAACAATAAAACATTTCCGTGTTATGGTCATTTGGCATGTGTATTTGTTGATTGGTTCATGTGTGTAGCATTTTTAATGGCAGTGTTTTGAAAATGGCAAACAAGTGAAAATGTGTGATTTCTGTGTCTTACTTAGAGAACCGTGTGCAGTGTTTAGCAAAAAGGGCCAAGTTGAATTGCAAATTGGGTGCAGAGCTGAAAATGTGTTTAGAGTTTTGGAGATTTGAGCTCAGGTTTTGCTCTTTGAGCGAGAGTTTAAATAATTAGGCTTTATGTGAGATTTGTGTGTGTTAGCAACTGAAAACAACTGTAAAGGAGACCTTTCTGCCTGACCTGTGAGCAATGAGAACGATTTAATGTTGCCACACTTGACACCCCAGTTATTCTACTTTAATCCTCAGCCCTTTAAAACAGTTTGCTCCCTCTGTCAGACATACCACAATACGGTACGTTTCTCCACTTTTTACTACATCTTCTCATGGAAGTTGTAAACATTGAAACTTGCTTCAATGCAAGGGTTAGGCAGGCTCTTTGTGGGCGCACCTATAGGGTTGCTCGGCTGTGTGTCGAGATCTCTGTGGGATATTTTCCAGCATGGCTTTGGGAAACATGTTGTTGCTAGGGTGCCCTAAGCCGTGTCTTAGTTTACAGTTTGTAATATATCTTTCCCATTCAGCTATTGAGTTATCTTATATTAAACTATTGCACTGAAACTTAATTGGCTGATGAATACATTTCTCACACTAAAGGATAACCTGTATCAGCTTCATGTATGTGACAAATTCTTATTTTAAGTAAGTTGTAATCATTAAAAAGTCATCCTAAGACAAAGCAAAGGTGATCTAGCATTGGACTAATCAGCCACCAAATCGGACAAAATCCTGTTTACACATTTTTACTCATTTTTAAATACAATTATTTCTATTGGTAAATCTTTTATCTTTATTATTGAAGATGGTATAATGTGCTGTACAAGTACAAATGCTTGACAGGGTATGTAAATGCTTCCCCTTCACCATATAAGTGGGTGCTTACAGTATGTGTTTTTATGCTGAGGACACGCAGCTGTGTCTCTCTTTAAGTAACCAACATAAGATACACAATTCATAGCTTCCTTATTTGATACAAAATACTCATGCCAATATGCAGACCTATTTCAAAAGACAGTTTTTACTGCAGTCATCATTCCTGTTAATACAGGCTCTTTCTTCTTTTAATGCATTTTATGTAAGCGATGGGGAACAAAATTCAAATTGTTTCTTCTGCAATTTCCCTTTACTTTACCCAAATAGTGTTTCTGTGTAGAGTTTCAGTTTAGGGCTGCTAACACAAAGGGGATATTAGCTGCAGAATACTAAAACTAAACTGCTACCGATAATCATTAGGAGGAGTGTGCCCTTTTCTCCCATTACTTAGTTTGAAATCACATTAGGAGGCAAGTTTTAAGGGTAATTATGAACAGGACAAACTTGTTTCAATTTACATTTACTGTAATGTCTTTCCTTTGCCTTTTTGTCACTAACCTTGAACGTTTTGTTAAAACCAAGCATAACAATTTACAAGCCTTATAAATGTCTAATTTGTTGGAAAGAATTTCAACATATTAGACAATAACAATAAAAGGTGAATAAAACCCTTAATATCTTGTAGAACAAGTGGGAATCTTTTTTGATAAATGTTATTGCAAAACCACAAATGAAGTAATATTTTACACTGCTTACATTTCTTATACATTAGACCTCATAATCATGAGTTCATCCCTGATAAAACAGCATCTTTGTGTAAGAGTTTTTTCCATTATTTAATGCTGTATTTTGTTGAAAATGCCTCCTTTTAAAAAACAAGTAACACAAACATTACCACAGTTTCCATTTGAGTTATACAAGAGGTGTTATGTTATTTTAACATTAAATACAACAAAATCACATATGGGTGTCTACTGCACGGTGACGGTAAAATGATTAACACGGCTTCA